CCTGAGCGCCTTTGTCTGCCGCCCGCGCCGCCCGCCGCACCACTGGCCTCACGGGCCTGCGCCGCGGCCGGGGGCGCGCCCATGAAGATGGAGCCGGGCCGGCCGGCCTCCCCGGCGGGCGGCCCGCGCCCCGACCCAGAGCCCGGTGGGCCCGACCGGCCGGGGGCCGCCCCCGCCCCGCGCCGGGCTCTCGGCCCACTGGAGCCCGCGGCCTGCGCCGATGCCGGGGCGGACCTAAGCGCCAGACGAGCCCCGGGGTTGGACGCGCGCCCCGAGAGCGCCTGGGCGCTTGCCCCGGACCCGGGCATGTCTTACCTCCTGCCGGACCAGGCTGCCTGCCGGGACCCCGACCCCGACCGGCAGCTGCCAGAACTCGGCCCGCTTCTTTCCTGGACTGAAGAGCCGGAGGATTACGGACCGCGGGTTTGCCCGGAGAGCGCCTCTCTCCGCGTGCAGGGTTTCAGGCACAGCCAGCACGTGAGGGGCGAGGTTGACTTCTTCCCTGGCTTCCCCTCGCCCGCGGTGGGCGAGCTGACGCTGGACGTGGGTCCCGGGGACTCGGACCGGCCCTCGGACTTCAGCCAGACCTGCCCCCTAACGAGCGAGCCCGCGGCGTGTCCGGAGGACGGCCCCCGCCTTCGAGCCGTGTTCGACGCCCTGGACGGCGATGGGGACGGCTTCGTTCGCATCGAGGACTTCGTCCAGTTCGCCACGGCCTACGGGGCAGAGCAGGTAACGGGGCGAGCGCTCCCGGGCCCTGCCGTCCGGCAGGTCGGGGAGTGCACGCTTTCTTCCCTTGTGTCCTCAGCTCGGGCTCAGTCTCGCTTACGTTCCTTTCTCTCGTTGAGGGAGCTTCTTTTCCTGAGACTCACTTTCTCTCCTGGCCCCCCTGCCCCCAAGCCCGTCCTCCCGAGCCACACAAGCTGATTTTTCCCAAACGGGGATGAGCTCCTGGCGATGAGCTCCTGGCGTGGGGACCTGCCCCCAGGCTGCCTGGTAAAAGGGCCCCCTGAATGAAGACGTGCCCAGCGACTCCCCCAGCTGAGGGCCCAGGGCTGCTTGGCTGAAGTCATTCGGTCCTTCCCACCGCAGAGGCCAGACTGCGCCTGGTCGCTGAACGTCATGGTAATCCACACACACCTATTTTGAGCACACTTTACTGTGTGTGGTTGGTATATATGTCCTGCCTAGGCTCATCTTTCAATGTTTGGGAGACCCTAAACGCTGAAAGTTTTCGCTTCTAACCTTGTGTGAAGGGAAGGGGAATGAGTCCGAGAGCAGGGTGAAGGTACAGACTGAAGCAGAGCTCCATCAGGGCCAGCTCCTCTCCTGTCGGAGAAGTGAAGCATGTAGACAGGTGTTGAGAAGGCACAGTGCAGTGTGTCGGAGGTCGCACCCAACCCCGGGGAGAAGGGGGGCCTCAAGATTTGTCCTTGGCCTGTATTTCAGCACTTAGGCAAGTTTACCTGGAGAGAGACACCATCACGCCTTGTGTTCTGCTGATAACCCGGGAGACATCACAGGTTACTGGTGTTCACTTTTAAAAATTTTACTGAAGAGTAGAAAGTCCCTAAAATGCTGATTTGCTAGTTTTTATATTTTACTGGTTGCTCACCTTGCAGACATTTGTTAAGTGGTGTTCAAGTGCACAGTGTGTTTAAGCCCTAGAGGTCTTGGGGTGCCTGGGTGGCTCAGTTGTTAAGCGTCTGCCTTCGACTCAGGTCATGATCCCAGGGTCCTGGGATCGAGCCCCATATCGGGCTCCCTGCTGCGCGGGAAGCCTGCTTCTCCCTCTCCCACTCCCCCTTCCTGTGTTCCCTCTCTCGCTGTCTCTCTCTCTGTCAAAAATTAAATAAAATCTTAAAAAAAAAAAGCCTAGTGGTCTTTAAGAAAAGAGGTAAAATTGATCCCTTGCTATTTAGGGTGTCAGTTAAAACATGTGGGAACCTTTATAAGGGATCCATGTAGCCCCCTGAATATCCACAGTGTCCCTTGAGCTGTTAGTGTAAAGATCTGGGTCCTCCCGATCACAGCTCCTTGTGCTGAGTTGTCAGCCCGGGAAGATGTGCATGTCTCTGTGGGCATCCTGAATGTTGGGGTCAGCGTACGGCTTGTAATTTAGCTCTGTGTTGGAAGACATTGCTGCGATGGGTCTCCCACCTCTTAGTCTAATGGGCACAGAGGTATATGACTGACAAGTGTCCCATATGGGCAGCATGGATTGTGATTGCTGGTCCACTTTCTTTTCCTGCTTTTCCTTTGTGCCACTGGGCTAGAGAGCACCAGTTTTTTTGTTTTGTTTTGTTTTGTTTTGTTTTGTTTTTTTACTAGTGCCTTGTGTCTTCTCTCCCAACATACCCTCCCTCATTACAGCAGTCAGAGGTGTTAGGGAAATACTACATTTGTTCTTTATCATAATCTGACTCTGAGAGAGTACTCTGGCTTACATGAAGCTCATGAACGTTTTCTCTGGATCATCACCTTTTTCTGAGGCCCTCGTAGGCAGGCAGTTTTCATCTTACTCTACAGGTAAGGAACTGGAAGCCCAGGAAGGCTGAATAATTTTCACAAGCCCTCACAGATTGTCAGTGCTCTAGCAGGGATGTGCTCATACC